ATAGAGTTTTTATGACAGATTTATATTTTAGTGGTAATGGACAAAGGCATGCTCCTTTTCCTGGAATATGTCAAGTAATCAACCCAGACAGTACTTCTTGTATGGGTTCATCTTTTGGGATTGCATTATGGTAGGACTGCGTACAATGAAAAGGCTTCTTTTTTATTAATAGGTCAAGTAGCCTAGGCCTAGGGTTCTGTGCCGTAGTCCACCTTCTCTCATAGTAAAAACGTTCTGTGATATACTGGACATGTGGACAAGATGTAAGCCATCAGTTAGATTAACCTCTGTTCAGTTGCCAGGGAAACAGTAAACGAATTGCGGTATTAACATGAGTGTAGGCTGTGAAGCCTTGTGAACTGCAGCTCTGCATCTGTTTTAACATCTGTTATTTTAGTTTGTTTAGAATGGTTTGTTATTGAGTCTGCACTGCAGTCTCCCGCACTTTTATTCATTCACTTTATGCTCGTGTGATTAAAAGGCTACCAGGGTCAGGCTACATCTCTCTGATATTTTTTTCTGTCCAAAATAGTTAGGAAGGGTTTGATGTGGCCGATAAGTTTCTAGGCTGCGATGCATTTTTGCATGCTTGCTTTCCCCTTGAAAAATACTTAAAAATCAGAGTGAAAGAGAATCCAAAACAACAAACAAGCTATTGTGCTGGAGAGCCCAACTCTTGACTGCTCCCTTCCTGGACTGGGCTTTTCGCTGTGTCCGTACTTGTAAAAGCCTGGGTGATTAAATGGAATGCAGCCTGTGCGTCTCGCCCGCTGTTTTCGGGAAGCAGGCAAACAAATGATGATGATTGCACCGACTGAAGGTGGAGAGTTGTGTGCATACATGCTTTTTATTTATTTATTTATTTATTTATCAGGGACAATATGGAATGACATTTTTGCATATACAGTAATTTCATGCGACATTTGCTAATATCTACATTAATAGGGAATTTTAGGTCTAATGTCCATTAATTTAGGGATACACAAATGTATTAAACATGGTGCAATGTTTAAAAATACATAGTAGTATCATGAAACTATTTTGTACTTTGTTAGTACAAAGAAATTGAAACAGACTGATAGGATTTTGTTTTCTTTTTGGAAACCGTTGACCAGCTGGATCCTAGCAGAAGTAGTATTCCCAGATCAATTACAATCTAAATCGCTATAGAAATGCTATATTCTTGATCAGTGTATTATTCTTGAACATGAACATACAGTGGGTACGGAAAGTATTCAGACCTCAATTTTTCACTCTTTGTTATTTTGCAGCCATTTGCTAAAATCATTTAAGTTAGTTTTTTTCCCTTATTATTGTACACACAGCATCCCTTATTGACAGAAAAACACATAATTGTTTACATTTTTGCACATTTATTAAAAAAGAAAAACTGAAATATCACATGGTCCTAAGTATTCAGACCCTTTGCTGTGACACTCATATATTTGACTCAGGTGCTGTCTATTTCTTCTGATCATCCTTGAGATGGTTCTACACCTTCATTTGAGTCCAGTTGTGTTTGATTATACTGATTAGACTTGATTAGGAAAGCCACACACCTGTCTATATAAGACCTTACAGCTCAGAGCTCACAGTGCATGTCAGAGCAAATTAGAATCATGAGGTCAAGGGAACTGCCTGAAGAGCTCAGAGACAGAATTGTGGCAAGGCACAGATCTGGCCAAGGTTACAAAAAGGTTCCTAAGAGCACGGTGGCCTCCATAATCCTTAAATGGAAGACGTTTGGGACGACCAGAACCCTTCCTAGAGCTGGCCGTCCGGCCAAACTGAGCTATCAGGGGGAGAAGAGCCTCGGTGAGAGAGGTAAAGAAGAACCCAAAGATCACTGTAGCTGAGCTCCAGAGATCCAGTCGGGAGATGGGAGAAATTGTAGTACGTCAACCATTAACGTAACCATTAACACGTAACATTAACCCACATTACTTAGCAACAGAAAACCATTCATAAATTGTCTTGATCCTTACATTATTAAACATTCGTGACTTACAGACATAGAAACTTTCACTCCTCGTGTTTAGGATTGGGGTGTCTGAGGAAAATTGTTACAAATGCCAAACAGTGACTTCAAACATTTTAACTAGTGCAGTGAAGAGCATTATTTGCAGAGAGAGACGTGTTTTAGAAGATTTAAGCATTGCGGATCATTTCCACAGATGGACAACCAGTTATTAAAATATGTCCATGTCCTTTCTTCTGTGATATTTTGAGACATATTTCAGTGTTTTTTCCCTCAGTGTTTTGTCAATGGGCAACATTCTCATACAGATTTGGTACAACAAGTTATGAACAAAAAAGGATTTAACTCTTTGGCTGAACTATCCTTTAAGAATGACTCTGTGTTAACAATTTAACTGAAGAGCCCATTAGTGGGAGGTTGTGCTCCATTATAATTTGTCCTACACACGATTGTTGGGTTTTTATTTTAATGTCAGTGTTCTAGTTGTTAATCAGACTGACCCCAATTGACTTTCATCAGCCCTTCTGATTTGAGTAGGAAAAGCTGTTTACTAAGCACAGCTGATATGAGTTCAATTTAATTTTATTCTCTCTCTCTCTCTCTCTCTCTCTACCTCCCCTCACTCTCTCACCACTGCTGGCCGAAATTGACTGCTCTCCCAGGGAGACAGGAAGCGGCCCTCACATTTTTCCCCCATTCAAACAATAATAGGAGAGAATGCTAGGTATTATTCTAGCAGTGGCTTGCTGCTTTATCTCCCCCAAACATAGTTTCCTCTCCGTCTGAGCACCGCTTCCTCTCTCTCTAATGTCATTAGAGAGAGTGGGTGGGAGGCTATGTATGTGTATGTGAGCGAGAGAGAGAATATGCTGTTTAGTGGACTGAATTTTTGGTCTTCAGTTGTGACTTTGAGAAATGTTGAGAGAGAGAGAGAGAGAGAGAGAGAGAGAGAGAGAGAGAGAGAGAGAGCGCGCTGCTGTTTGAGAGGGGAAGTGGGGGGAGTGTTTGTCTGTTAATTTTTTCCTGGACTAGGAATCTGGTCAGAGCCTCTGGCTGCCTCATTACAGCTAAATGACCACCAACCTTCACTCATGTGAGCGGTGAAGTCGTTAGGGTCCTGATAAAGATTGACCACTCACAGCAGACACAGACCTCAGGGTTGTCCTTTGACACGAGACGTCTACTGATAGTTTAAACTTGAACTTCATCTTGAACCTGTTCCTGAAAAGTCTTGGATTGGATTCACCTCAGATATTTGTCTAACTGTGAGAACATCTGGAGTTGTGTCAAGTGCTGTGAGTATCTAAATAAGTTTCATATTGCACAGAACCTCAAGTGGGAGTCAAACCAGCACGAATTTCAACCTGGTTAGCCTGTTTCTGTTTGGTTCATTTCACTGGAACTTTACTGCCGTGCTAAGGCAAATGCAGTAACTACACCAACACTGAAACTGAAAAAAATGGTTCCAGTTTTGTTTTGGTGTTCTTTTGTTGTTAATTTTGGATTGCTTTGGTAGTTTTATGTTTTCTGTGAATCTGAACATATTGAGCCAAAACTCACTCTCAGGACAGATCATAGTCTACCGAATTTCAGTCATAAATTAATTTAGACAAAATGTTACCTTTTCTGTTCGTTTTTCCTTTAGATAGCTGTATCAGATCAGCTGGTGTTTGGTGTTTGATCAACAGTGTTAATTGGTCGAGGGTGACAATGCGAATATAGCTAAGCTATGAGCTGTCTTGTGAAAACTTGAACATCCTAAGATTGCAAAAGTGTTAATTGGTATGAAATGTTAATTACATTTATTGTTTATAGGTTTCTGAAATAGACATATTTAAATTTTGATGTGCCTCCGGGTTTATGCTTTTAATTAAAAAACGCTTTCTGTGTTTACTAAATGTAATATTTGCTTGTGTGGTAATAGGTGTGTGTTTTTAATGTGCATTCATTTGTCTAATTTGTTGTATTAGAGTATTGTCTTCTGCTTGTTTACCTATCTCTGAAAACTGCTATTAAATAGCGGATATCACTTTGTTTCACAAGTGTTTTAAGGTCAGTAAGATGTTTGGAGTTTTTTCAATAAGGATGACTTAAATTTGTCAGAAGTGACAATAAAAACATTTATAATGTTTCATAAGTTTTAGATTTCAATTAAATGCTGTTTTTTAAAACTTTCTTATATAGTCATCAAATTTCAACATTGATGATAAGAAATATTTCTTGATCAGCACATCAGCATATTAAAATTATTTCTGAAGGATCATGTGACACTGAAGACTGGAGTAATGATGCTGAAAATTCAATAAATGACCATTTAATATTTATTCAAATATAAAAGTTAGGCTATTTTAAATGTAAAAATAAATATGTCACTGTATTGCTGTTTTCACTGTATTTTTAATTAAATAAATGCAGCCGTGGTAAGCAAAAGAGACCCCAAACTTTTATACGGTGTTATACCAAAATATTTTTGTTCCTTACATATTGCATTTTTGGATATTTCTCACTTGCTTCTATTCTTTTCTAGCCTCTCATGGAAAAACTAAAATGATTATTAGTTGAATAATAAGCTCTTAAAAACCATTGTTCCCTCTGGATCATTATTGCCATCTGGAATGTTTGTGAATACTGTACTCCTGTCAGTGAAACTGATGGGATGTACCTGGAATTTGGGCCTTGTTCCATTAATGCTGCTACTTTATAAATTAATTGGCCATTTTTTACTGTAGATGTCTTAAAAAGAACCTCAATCAGCCATTTCAGTAATCCAGTGGACGGCAGATATGAAAGAGTTCCAGATGGTGAAGTCAAACAGATTTCCCTTGATTCCTGTATGTGTTTGTCAAGACTGACACTGCTTTGGGAGTAAAGGGTCTTTTTTTCATTCTTGAATGCTGTGGTTTCCAGATTGGGGTTTCTTTTAGTCAGTAATTGGTACTTGGGAATATTAGAGTGATGTTATACTTCTACACTGTTCACTTCTTACTGACTTTGTGTTCGCTTATACCTGTCCTTCGAGCAGACGCAGTGTGCCAGTGATCCGTCCCCACTCTTGGCACCTGGCAAAGCTGTCAGAGGCACCCTGCACTACGGGCACTGGTGATCCCTCAGATGGCCCCTCGGCTATGCAGCTCCACTTCACACCTCTCAGTGTACCATGGCACTCTGGAGGTGACAACAGGTTGGTATAAATAACTATTATACAAATGATGTATTCAAGTAAACATACTTTAATCTGTATGACCTTTCTTTCCCTTCATTTCAGTGATTTAGATTCATTTAGACACCTTTTGAAACATTGAAAGTACTAATAGCTTAAACAGATCTTTGCATCTGTGCGAGAGGGAGAGAGAGAGATATCTCATTGTTGAATTAGGGAATTTTGCTTCCAGCGAATTTCACAAGGAAAACAATCAAAGAGGAAGCTGGTGATCTCACATCTTATGTCAACATGTGGCTCACCGGATGCCACCACTATTTTCAGACATATGACTCAGACATTCTTAACAGATCACCAGTAGAGTGACAAAAAACACACACAAAACACAAAAAAGCCATTGACTTAAGGGACTAATCTTTAACTTCGAACTTCAACTGTAATGTTTGTTTTGGGGGCTTTGTACCTCAGTGTTTTGCTGAGGAGACTGTGAAACCTAATTACAACACCTGTAACAGAATGAAAATGCGTACATAATTATCAAATTAAAATATCTGTAAAAAAAAAAGACAAATCTGAAATTGAAACGTATAGTTTACACCTACAGATATGATTTGATACTGAAATTTCAAGCTGGCTTTGAATAGTGTACGTCGTTACTTTTTGTAGGCAATCTTTGAAATGTTTATGGTGATTGTCACATTATCTAACTTGGTTCACTTCTGTTTCATTGTGCAGTGAGCTGTCCATGCAGTGGGGCCATATCTCCAGGCACTACAGCACAGATCGCAGCAGCTCAATAGGAAGTATGGAGAGTCTGGAGAATCCTCCCAACCAGGGTTACTATGACAGTCAGCTCTCTCCCATTGATCCTGTCATCTTCAACAACAAACGTGACTCTGCTTACAGCTCATTCTCAGCCAGCTCAAATACATCTGATTACACTGTTCCTGTCAAGCCTGAGGAGATCAACTCCATGGACAACATCCTCCAGGGTCTAGGTTCTTCCTGCAGGTATCCAGACGGAGGCCAACATTCTGCCCCCAGTGGACATGGAAACCAGCAGGAAGAACATCAACGCTCCAAGATGCTGTCTGACAGAACTGCAGCTAAAGTCCGACCGTCGTCCTATAGCTGCGAGGAGGAACACTGTGCACCGCCGCAGCCACCCATGAGGAAGGATAGCTTTAGGGCTGCTAGAGGCCAACCAACAGATAAACGCTGTGTGTCTGCTCCTGTAGGCATCCCAAGTGTAACCAGCTGCATAGTTGAAGATCAACCCCAAGTCCAGGAAGTTTTGACTGGCAATGTTTATTTGAATGGAACACAAGACAATGAGCATGAATGTAAAGGGTGCACCACTGGAACGTATTATACCTTAAACTCTCAGAGAGATACCAAAGCAAGTGACTTTGAGAACTCTTCAAAATCTTTGGTGGCACCTTCACCTCCTCTGAGTCCCTTTTCACAAAGGAATATGGATGAGAACATTGAAAGCCAACTCCAGCCAGAACATAATCTCCAGTCAGCAATGCACAGACACAGTGCACCTGAGAAACTTCTTGCTTCTCAGCTGTGTATGATGGATATTTCTGGAGACAAAAGTGATCATTGTGCATCTCCAACTTGCCTGTGGTCACAGTCTCCTCTTTATCTGAACGATACTAGTCCAAATAAGTCTCAGGGAAAGTGGGAAGCAAGCCGATGTTCAACGCCTGGTTCGGTGGCAACTTCGGAACTTGAGGATCCAAGGGTAGAGGAGGAACCTCTTGATTCTGAACTGAATCTGTGGGGGAAGCCTGGAAATCCCACGGGGAATGGATTCTCCACCACTAACTCTCAGACCATTGAGAAGAACATTGGTTCTGTAGGTGTGGACTCTCACTTAAATGAGAATGGAGGAAAAGTAATGGAGGACAATGGCAATGCTACAAAGCAGTCGCAGAAACGGCATTTACGTAGCTCCAAATCGCGTCGCAGAAGTGACCGTTTTGCCACCAACCTTAGAAATGAGATCCAGAGGAAGAAGGCTCAGCTGCAGAAGAGTAGAAACCCTTGTGGTGAAGAGACCGTGGAAGAAGAGGTTGCAGATCTCAACACAGAGGCAGTAGCTCCTCCAGAGTACCATCAACCCAGACCCCAAACCCTCCCAAGACCTCTTACCAAACCGCCCACTTCCTCTGTGCAAATAGTCAAACATATACCTCAACAAGTTCTTGATGCCACACAAGGTGAGGAACATTCCAGCACCAGGGTTGTGGACTTCCAGTCATCTCAGATCCCTCAACAGGCCAGACAAGTTTATGTGCATGTGGTGGAGGAGATAGCACCTGCAGGTAAACCACGGCGATGGCGTTGGACACCAGAACGCAAGCTTCAACCAGAAACTGAGCCCTCTGAGAGTAAGAGAAATGAGGCTACTGGACAGATGTGGTCTGCTAAAATGATATCAACTAGAGGGAGGACAAATTCCTCTAGTGGCCGTTTAGGTCGATCAGATGAGTGTGACATCCCTCCCTTTGCAGACCGCAGGAGGTTTTTTGAGGAGACTAGCAGGAAGTTGAGTCAGTCTGTAACAAACTTATCAAGCTTGACAAGTCGAAATCAGAGGCTAGACAAGCCATGTAGGCCGAACCGTCCATCCTCACCTGAACCTATTGAGATGGCCTCTAACCTGGGCCGGAGAAGGTTTTCGTATCAAGATGTGCCATATGTCAACTCACTGGACACTGGGAGACAGTTTATGAGTTCCCAACAAGACCAAGAACAAATTATGGAGAGACAGATGCGGAGAGAGCAGGAGAAACAAAGAGAGCAGGATAAAGCTAAGGAGCAAGAGAAGCTTAGAGAACAAGAAAGGGAGAAGGAAAGATTAAGGAAAGAGAGGGAAAAAGAGACACAAATGGTGAAGGACTGGGAGGAGAGGCAGAGGCTGCTACCGAGAGAACAAGAATGGGAGTCCGGGAGAGAAACTGTTCGCTCTGAAAACAATATAAGCAGTGACACAGTTCCTCAGTCTTTATCTCATGACGCCTTTCGGAAGCAGCCGCCCACACCTCAGGTTCCTTCCTCCCCGAAGTCCACTGAGCATTTCTATAGCAACACTACCACTAACATCCAAAAGCCTTGCTCAGCGTTCCACCCAGTGACCACCCAGCACAATCAGTATGATGCCTACCACGTAAATTCACCCTACAGGGGGGCCAGGAGCTACACCCCAACTGAGGTAAGACTGGGAATTCAGCCTTATCCATTGTCTTAAAAAGGGATTGTCAAGTATTTCTGATCCAGGATCTCAGCCAACCCAGGGAACCACTAATATAAAAATGCCAAAATTTCTGAGTAATTTCGGTCACTAACAAAATTAACTAGCATTGCAATACATTAAATTAGTAATTAGTGTGGTTTTCCCATTCACCTTACTAATTAAAGTTACATTGAGGAATTAACAGGTATTGGGGGATACCTTATGGATGTAAACGTCATAGTATCCACTATATATGGAATAGACATGCACATGACACATTGTTTTTAAATTATTTATGCAATTAAGAGTAAAGCTTTCCTCCTGCAGTTTACTGTCGAATAACAACCTCATAAATTCATAATGAATAGCCTGTATATGTGCTTATAATGAATAGCCTGATGGAAATCAAACATTGCAGAATTGCTGATTTTCTTTCTTTATTGTGGTTATTTACAGTTCTAGGCTTCTATAAGTTAAAAGATGAGTCCTTACAAATACATGTTGAACATTTGATTTCTGTTATAGCTTTGAATTGAATATGGGATGGAATATATGATATGTCTTGTTGCATTTGGGATGGAAATTGTGCTTTAGTTCCCGCTGAGCCTTTATTTAAAAATGCACTGAGCCAGATCGATACTTTTATGTTATCTGTAAAAGATTAGGTGTCTTCTTTGTGCATTGATTTATATGCGCACTGTTAGAACTGAATAAGAATGAAAGCGTTTATTCTTTACTTGAGCTGTTATTTTAAGACTCTTTGGTATAGTGCCATGTAGATGGGAATGAGACCGTTGTTTTCAGTCCTCAGTGCAGACTTATTTTAATATTAGCATTCATACAGATTAGGATATATTGAAACTGGCCTTCCTCAGAGTCTCAAAAGGCAAAATGTTGGCCAGAACTGTATACAAATCATAAATCGGCTCTAAAACAACAGGAAGATTGAATATGTATATTGAATATGTGTCAACAGTCACTATTTTGAATACATGTCCTTTTTGTAAAACATGAATTAATGCTCTAACTGATCTCTGAGCCATTATTATTCCTTCAGTATGTTTAAACTTTATTAATCCTTGAGGGCAAATTGAGGTAAATTCAAGAGGGATTTTCCTGGTTGTGAAAACAAGCCCATGTACTCTAGATGAGAATCAGAGATACTATTCACAAGGAAGAAACTTTTTGATATCTAAACCATTTATTTATTTTGCACTTTGTGTGCTTTTAAAAAAACTGGGCTGTAGATGGTTGGCACAACAGTGGTAAACCAGTATTTGTTTGGTTACATAGAGTACTCTTGCTTTTCTATTATACAATTGAGCCCTGAATGTTATTTGAACCCTTTTGAGAGAGGTGTTCACCTATAGCGGGTTGTTTCAGATGAAACTACATGCTAAAAAACAGATTGGCGAAAAGGTTACATAAATCACCATTTAATTGCTTTACCACTTTTGTTTTTCTTTGCAGTTAGAATAAAGCAAATACATTATCTTCTCTACTACATTAATTCATTTTTCTGTTAAACACTTCTTTCAAAAATTATACATTTTAAATGCATGGCAAATGTATTTTACAGGCCCATCCTGTGCGGGGACAGGAACAAACAAAAAAACTAAACAGAAACTACAGCCTGACAGAGAGGTATGAAAACGTTTTTTCACAAAATTTAAGCCATAATTATCAAAATTATAACAAAAGGTGTGAAATATCTCACTTTGCATGAGTCTATATAATATATTAGTTTCAACTTTTAAGTTGATTTACTGAAATGAATGAACTTTTGCACAAGTTTCACCTGTATATTCTGTTATTGCCCCTATTTTATGCATTCTTTACTTGTATACTGTACATGAAGAGTTCAGATGCAAAAGCCTCTAAGTGCCATTTGAAATTTCCTTCTAAAATGATCATTTTTATCAAGCTTGTATATTTAAGTTCAGTAATTTCACTTAAATGACAATGAAGATTACCTATTAATTGTCATTTAAGTGAAATTACTGAACTTCAATATACAAGCTTGATAAAAATGGTCATTTTAGAAGAAAATTTCAAATGGCATTTAGAGGCTTTTGCATCTGAACTCTTCACATATTGTTATTGACAAACCTTTACTATAGCATAACATTTCTTATTTCACAGGGACTACTCAAAGTGTAAAATAGGCTCCAAGACAGAAGAATGTGCTGTTGTTCTGAACTTCATGGGTCAAGGTGGCAACAGCATTACAAGTGGCGGCATCGAGGCGCATCTTTTTTCACCCCTTAAAAACCGCGCTATGTCAGAGAACGATATTCGCATGGAGACACCAAATTGTCATAATCAGATTTCAAACACCAATGTCAGCAGAATGCGTGCGTCCACTCTTAGCGACCTGGATGAGAATGGAGTATGTGTCGATGAGGTAAAAAAGAAAAAAGGGCCCCCGCCTCCTCGTCCACCACCCCCAAAATGGGAGCAGTTCCACAAGAGGCGGGCATCCCACCACAACCTCTTCTCCTCTCCGCCACTCTGTTCCTCTCCCTCTTCCTCTCCACCTCGGCCACAGACGTGCACGTCCCGGCCCCCCAGTGTGCCTGAAACGACACGCCAGCGTTCCTATAGTCTTCCTCCGAGGGAGGTTTCAGAGAGCCGTCACTGCTGCAGTCAAGAGTACTCGGTGGCTCCACCCAGCCCTGCTTTTACACGTCGGGCTTTTAAACCTGTAGCCTTGCCCCCAAAAGAGAGGGACTTAACCCTTCAGAACTATGACATGAGAGAACTTCATCAGCCTTTGCCACACCCTGAACCATGCACAAGGTAAAATGTACCATCCAACCCCACTTATAATAACATACAAGATCCATGATGAAGAACAGGGCAGAACAAGTCTTTTTAAAATTCTTGTTTAAAGCACATCTTTATATTCATGTTGATTTCATACGGTTCTGACAAACCTTTTTCAAGAATTTGAAAATAAAAAAAAAATGTATGTGGTGTAACATCAAGTAAAAAGTGAAAACACTTTTGTGTTTTTACACTTTGAATACATAAAAGAGAACACATCATGTTCCATGTTAAAACACTCCATGTTTTATTTCTTTTTGCGGAAATTATTGTTTGTTAGTTTTTAAATGCTTTTTAGAACATTAATAAGCAGTAAAACAGTAAATAATAATAATATAAGGCTACTTTATGCAATTTACTTCATTACGATATTAGTACCATTTATGGGGTTGGTAAAGTCACTTATGTTCATCTCCATTTATTTGATCAAAAATACAGTAAAAACCATAATGTTGTTAAATATTATTACAATTTTAAAGTTTTTTTAAAAAAATGTAATTTATTCCTGTGCTGACAATATTGAATTTTCAACATCGTAACAGTCATCAGTGTCGCATGATTCTTCAGAAATCATTTGAATATGCTGATGTGCTGATCAAGAAACATTTCTTATTATTCTCAATGTTGTAAACAGTTGTGCTGCTTAATATTTTTATGGAAACCATGATACATTTTTGTCAAGTTTTTTGGATGAATAGAAAGTTAAAAAGACTTTCTATAGTCTTGCCTGTCAATTTAGATCCATTTAATGGGTCCTTGCCAAATAAAAGCATTAATTTCTTTATTTCTTTCAACAACAAAAAAAAGATCATACTGAACCTAAACTTCTGAACAGTACTATTTAATTAATTGCATTTTTAATGTACTTTTGAGTAAATGACCTTTATTGTCTGTCCTCTTTTAGGATACCTGTCCACACTGCTGCAGCATCAGATGAGCCTAGAGTCACACTGGTGAAGCCCATCTTTCCTGAGCGTCGAGTTGAGTGGGACCGGTCCAGTCCTCACTACCCTCCACAGGGCACTACCATGTCTCTTGAAATCCCAGAGAACAGCTTGTCAGCTGGACCTGTGTATCCAGAATCCTACTTCTCCATGAACAACTACCACTTGCAGCCCCATCAAGCAGGCTTCCCCGGAACAGTCCACAAAAAACAGATTGTTTCCTCCCGCAGTCCCAGCATCGTAGAAGATGGAAACCTGCCACTGGAGACAGACATCGATGAGATCTGTGAGAATGAGCGAGCAGGGGAAGTTCAGAGGAGGAAAGGAGAGGTCAGGGTGGAGATGCAGGGTTTTGCTCGGCCTGTTATGGTGCTGGAGACGGACATCGACAACATGCCTGAGGAAGGGGCTCCATCGGCAAGAAGCATTAGAGGACCGAGGAGCTCCCTGGTGGACTCCATTCTGGACGATAATTATGGTATATCTAGGAAGGAGCTGATTGGAGAGTTATTTCCACACAGTGTAAATGCAGAGATAGGTGGAGAGAGCTGGCGAGGGGGTTACCCAATCAGTGGAGGAACACTAGAGAGGTATGACAATTCTTTCACTTTCCTTTTCTTATAATTTGTTTAAATGCCATGAATAGTTATGGTTTCACGGCGTGCTTCAGTAAAGAGCCACTAAAGGGACATGGTGATGGAAAAAATATGAGATGGGAGGAGAAAAAACATTTTGCGTTTCCCTGAAAAACTTTGCGTTCACTCATAAAAAATGTGCGTTCCACTGAGAAAGCTCGCAAATACCTTCAAATATTTGTGAGCAAATGCAAGATTTCTCAGGCGAATGATGCAAACTTTTTGCGAGGGAACGCAAAGTTTCTTGGGGGGGGGGGTTCCATTTGCAAAGGAACGCAAAAGCATTTGACTTATTATTTTTCCATATTATTTCCCCACCACCATAACCTTAAGGGGCTCTGGACTTCAGAGTAATCTAAAAAGCTGAAATATCCATGAACTTTTTTCTAGACCCTCTAGACTGGGAACAACCACAGCACAAGTGTCACGATCAACCAGTTACGACGCATCAGTTGACAACGCACAACTTCTTGCCAAGATTCGAGAGATCTCAGAGAGGAGAGAGGAGGAGGAAGAACTCAATTATAAGGTGAAAGATTCAGAAATGTATGGGTCGCTTATTATACGCTTTGTAAATGTAAAGTCATCAAGGTTCATAAAATTTTTCAATTTCGTGTAATTTCAGATGTGGCCCCAAAGTTCATGGACATTTGAAATGTTACTGAAGTACATATGAAACTTAACTTCACTTTTCTGACCCTCTTTAAGTTACTTTTATAACTCAAGATGATTTTTTTTGGATCAGTCAGTTCTATGAAGACGGAGTGCATCTGTAATAAATAAATCTGTAATAAATTATGTTTATCAGTTTATTTATTCAAAACCTGAACTGGAAAAAGTCACTATAAAAATTCCCACACAAAGAGCTCTGTTTTTACATCATGTTAAAAATGTATAAATTCAACAAATGAAACGCGCGTCATACTGTCACCAAATTGGCATTTATTTGATAAAAAAAATAAAAATAGGTATTTAATGTATTTTAAAAAGTAATTTATTCCTGTAATGTCAAAGTTGAATTTTCACCAGCCGTAATTCCAGTGACAGTCTTTAGTGTCACATGATCCTTCAGAAATCATGTTTTGCTGCTTATGAAACATTTCTTATTATGAATGTTGAAAACAGTTGTGCTCTTTTTGTGGAAATCGTCAATTTAAATGATGTTCGTTTGAACTTTTACATTTATCAAAGAATCGTAATTGAAATCGACTTTGACTTTCGAACAATTTAATGCATCCTTGCTGAATAAAAGTATAATTTAGTTAGTTTCTGACTGACTGACCTCAAACTTTTTAACTATACTGTATATACTGTATGCTGCTTCTCATAGTGAGTGCTTACATTTACAGAAGCAGCTGATGGAGAGCCTTCGTAAAAAGCTGGGTGTCCTGCGTGAGGCACAGAGAGGCCTGCAAGAGGATATTCGGGCCAACACTCAGCTGGGAGACGAGATGGAGGGCCTGGTGCTCGCTATCTGCAAGCCCAATGAGGTTGACAAGTTTCGCATGTTCATCGGCGACCTAGATAAAGTGACCAGCCTGCTGCTGTCACTTTCTGGGAGGCTGATCCGTGTGGAAAGTGCCTTGGACTGTGTCGACCCAGAGACTGGCCACCACGAGAGGGTGAGGAGAGATACAATATGTTATGACCCAGCGAAACACAGTAGTCAACATTTGAAGTGGATCAAAACCTTTCATCAAAGTTATACTTGAATTTTAACCACTTCAAATGTTGACGACTGTATATTAATGTTGGCATGAAACAAAAGTTGCTATACTTTTTTCTTCCTTATTTTGACATATATCTCAGTAAAATGGCAGCTTGGTTAAGAAAAATGTAGGCTGGGACTTTTTGTCCATCAGAAATTGATTGGATTGTTGGATGGTTATGGTTTGCTATTGCTGTGATGTCATGTGAGTAGGGTTGGGTATCGAGAATCGAGTATCGATTGGAACCGAGACTAACTTTTCGTTTTTCCCGGAATCGTTCAAAAGTTAAAATTTCGATTCCTAGTTTCGATATTCGCAGTCCGCCGAGCGGAAGAAGAAACCGCTGAACAACACCAACGAAGAAGCGTCTACCGGAAGTGTTGGCATAACCACGCGAGTCGAACATGAGTAACTTACGTCGGCGATCCAAAGTGTGGCTTCACTTTTCTAAAAATAACGAAATCAACAAAAGGAGTATTTTTACAGAAGGAGTATTTCCTTCAGAAAGGATTATTTCCTTCAGAAAGGCCATTGGTTAGCAAGGTTAGCTAAACTTTTTTGACCCTGCCTCTTAAAAGAATCGGAATCGAGAATCGTTAGGAACGGAATCGAAACAAGGAATCGGAATCGGAATCAGAATCGTTCAAATTCAAACGATACCCAACCCTACATGTGAGTGACGGGTTGCCCCGCCCTCACCTCAGTAAACGCATCATTAGAGAAGTGGAGAGATGTCACACTTTAGATTTCATGGTGACTTTAAAAGTTTGAAAGGATATATATATATATATATATTGTTATAGTACAAAATATACAATATAGCATTGATTGGTTGTATCTGAGTAACAAAACCAGCCCAATTGCTATCAAAACCCTGCCCATTTGTTTGTTTTGTTTAACATTTTTATTCAATGACCATGTCTCATTCTCGCTGTCTCTCTTGTTCTTTCTGTGATGTTATAGCTACAACTTCTGGAAAAGAAGAAGCAGCTGCTGGGGCAGATGGGAGAGGCTCAGGAGCTCAAGGAACATGTGGACCGGCGTGAGCAGGCTGTCGGCAGGGTGCTGGGATGTTGCCTGACCCCAGAACAGATGCGCGACTACAGTCACTTTGTGAAGATGAAAGCGGCCCTACTGGTAGAGCAGAGGCAACTGGATGACAAGATCAGGCTCGGCGAGGAGCAGCTCAGGGGACTTCGAGAGAGCCTCGGCCTGGGGCTGGGGGTCGGTCTGGGTTACGGGCATTACTGAGAAGTGCTTTAAATAATAGACATTATTTTAAGATTACTATGTGTGTGTGTATAACAGGAATCGAATAGGACCGACAAGGGACCTTGTTCTGCAGTATGTTTCACACAATTACCATCGAATGATGTTCAGTTCAATTTGAAAACACTACATCACTACTTGAAGTTGTCTGTTAGGACTTCAGCTGCACTAATAACCGTTCAGTAAAGTTTGCGCTTACTCAGTTAACCTCAGACACCGCCAAAGAACGCATGTGTGCGTATACTTCTCATTGAATACAGCTGGGGGAGTGTCCATGCACTGCTATTTATTTATTTATGTGTGTATATAATAATCATACACACTATATATGTAGATCCCTGTCAGTAAGTTAGAGAATCCTTGATTCTAAGGTCACAGTGCTTTAAGAATAATTTACAGCCTTATTCTGCATGTATCTGACTTCTACTCTTTGGCATAAACATTGTTTCGTTTAAAATGGTTTGTTTTCAAGTATTTTGTATGTACCTTGAAAACGTGTACATGGTTGATGCTAAAGTGCGTCTTTAAGTCACAGAAGTTTCATTCTGTCATAACTGGAACTTTTCTTAAATTAAACATTGTGGCCTATTATTGCAGTGTTTTCAAGAAGTGACCTTTTTGTACTTAAAAAAATTCAGATTCAGTATGCCTTATAGTACTTGCCACACTTTTCTCAGATAGTTATTATTACCAAAGATAAAGTTTATGTCTTTGTGAACATTAGAATATAAATGTGCTGTGCCTGGTTTGAGGAATGACATGCATAAATGTTTTGAGAAGACCAGCCTTGCCTTACCAAAGCCCTTATATATAGACATGTTTCCTTTGAATATAAGAGTGTTTAGTTGAGATGCACTGTGTTTAACCGTATGTATCATCTCACACGCTGACATGGCAACTTTTGAGGTGATTGCTACAAGATTTCCTTAACTTTGAGAAACTGGATATTTCTCTAGAAGTAAGGAGAATGCTGCTTCATTGACAATTTACAGCCTTGAAAGTCTTTCAATTTTTTTTTTTTTTTTTTTTTTTTGCAAAACAAAGGAGCATGTAATGAAGATTATAAGGAGAGATTTGGAAGTTGCTGTATAGGAATAAAGAATTAATGATTTGGTTAAATGCAGAAATGCAGATCAAGAAGGAAATGGTGCCTTTGTGCTTATGTTTGCTGTTTTAATTTTTCCTTCACTTTGTATAAACGTTATAGTTTATTTACTATAAACTCTTGTTCGTTTGCTGCATCATACATTGTAAACAGCCAAGTGCTGGAGATGAAAGGAAATAATTGGTCTATTGATAATTTTTTTTTTTTTTTTTTTTTGAAAAGATTCCTTGTTAAACATGTACAATTAAAAAATAATATCTTGTCAGGGCTATGTCTTTTCTTTCTTGAAATAAGTTTTACCAAGTTCATTCTGAAAGGGTTGCGTTTTGTTTAGGTGGCTAGCTGACAACTAATGTCAAGCTTTAATGCCCTAATTGAACTAAGGCCTAATCTTGATTTAGTCTAAGCCCTCTCTATAAAACCAGGTCAATATTTTGCTAATTAGTTTTAATAATGCATGAAGATAGAGGCTGTGGAGTATTTATGTTTTTAAAAATACATTATCACCACGTAGCCCAACCTAAAAATGGTCATTTTTTAATATAATAATCATTCTAATGTTTGAGGTGTGATTTAATAGGTTGATTGCAACTAATAATTAACGAGGGTTGTTGATTGGATGGAAGTGAGAACACGAGCCTATTAAACTACTTGGCGGGAACGTACATGTATAATTCAGGGGCGAGCATTGTTTTTCTATTCTCAACTAGTCATTGCTGGTTTACAGTGGACAACATGTTTGGCTTTGTAAGAGCACTCAGAAGTATGAGATCTACACCCAGACAGCATGACTTTACCCAGCGTTTCTACATTGCCTCGAAAGCTGCAAAAGGCAAGGTCGGCGTAGTGGTAAGTTCAACGGCAATGCAAACCGTAATCTGAAGTTGTTGTTTTTTTCCCCCGAACAATTTTAGTTTTATAAAACCTATTCAACTGTCTTACGTCATTACATAATTTTCACTTGATCGACTGTTCTAAACCTACTCAATGCAGTGCTGCTGTTTCTTCTTTGTGTAAAAAAACAAAAAAACTGTTCTAAGCACACTTAAAGGAGTAGTACACTTTAGAAAAAAACTTTTGCTGATAATTTACTCACCCCAATGTCATCCAAGATGTCCATGATGTAATTATTTCTACAGTCAAAAAGAAATTAAGGTTTTTGATGAAAACATTCCAGGATTTTCTCCATATAATGGACACCAATGGGAACCAAACGGTTCAAGGTCCAAAAGACAGTTTCAGTACAAACTGCAAACTGTTCAAAGGGCTTTAAACGATTCCCGGCGATGAATAAGGGTCTTATCTAGCGACACGATCAGTCATTTAAAAAATAAATAAAAAAGTTTACGTTTTATAAGCACAAATGCTCGCCTTGCTCTGTTCTGTGACGCACGTTCGTGACTTTTGTTTGAACTGGTTCATCAAAACGAACATCTTTTTCATCGTCTGGTGTCGTTTAAAGCCCTTTGAAGCTGCACTGAAACTCTTATTTGGACTTTGAACCGTTTGGTTCCCAATGAAGTCTATTTTATATGGAGAAAAATCCTGGAATATTTTCATGAAAAACCTTAATTTCTTTTCGCTCATTGCGTTTTTGTTCAAACACATTTTAAGCGTGTTGAAGTGATGTCTAGATTGTTGCCGCTATGATTCAACTAATTTAGAATTTAAACATGTACACATAGACTGTACAAATACTGTTGTGCACATAGACTGTTGTGCATTTAATTGTGAAATGGTCTTACTTTTTATATGGAGCTCCCAAACGCTGTGAAGTGTTATCAACCAATCAGAATAGACTTTCACAACGAAAATGCTACATTAAGTCTTATTGGTTTAGTGAACTGCACCTGCTGGAATTCTTTCAACAATTACAAAACTACTTTACAATTTAATGTTTAACTACTATTAATTGAATTTATCTTAGAAATTGCACGGAATGGGGCTTTTTTTTTTTTTAATTTAATAGCTTAGTCTGTCTAGCTTTTGCTGCATCACTACATTGTAAAGACATTACAGGTTAAACAAACGATTTATTTAAAAACATTATGACTTAAGATTCACAGCATATAAAAGTTCAATGTTATGTCAAATACCTCAAGGAGGAAGTCATTGCTATTAAATCTCAACTAAAACAGTGATAATAGCTAATAATTGTTTCATATCAAAATAACGGCATACTTTGGAAGAATAATTTTGAGTTCTTGGTTTAGTAGTTTGTTTACATGTTGGACATCACTTAAATGCACGTGTGGGTCTATGGTTTCTCATGTTTGCATCTTTTTGCAAATATTGGTGTGTACTCAAGCTTATCCTTTTCCTCCCTACACATTTAGGAGAGTGTATTTGTGATGGCCTTTATCTCCATTGCTGTCCTTGGTCCGGCCGGATGGATTTTGTCCAACTCTACTGACTCCAACAGAAAAAAGCAATGAGGAAAGTGACCGATGCCTCTTGCTTGAGATTGGACATGTCTTTTGAGTTGTACATGATTCTAAGTGTAATTGAAACCCTACCTACATAGAATGTAAAATGAGCACTTAAATCACTGTGCTGTCTGTGAAATAAAACAAATTGAGTCAATGGTGGTTGTTCTTTTTGTTAGTGGCTTAAATCCACATCTGATTCCTGCCACATTCACAATTGATTTCTACAAAAACAAATTCACTTTAGTCATGCGAGGTGCAAGTCCCTTTAATAAAACTCATGAAAGGCAGTGTAACAAAGGAAAAACACTAAAAGCAAGTTGACAACATTTACAACCACAAACTACTGTACAACCCTAATGCTGCCATTTGATGCAGTGTCAGTTTTTCTGAGATCAAGTTTTGTCTGTACTGAAAAAAAAAAAAAAAATCATACATTTTGTAATGTAATGAGAACTGGAGTGAAAACTTTTTTGTGATTTAATCATAGCAAAGTCTTGCATATGTATGACTCAACTTGGCTGTAAAACTGGGATAGTTTCTTGACAATGGAACCAAAGAATATATAGAGCATCACTTATACAGAATGTCATAATGGCCTGGGCGGTAGAGCAGAAAGATCCGTGGCTCACTTCCTTCAGGGAAGACATGATTGTTCACCGTTCCACCCTCTCCTCTGTCCATGTATTCCACTAATATGGGCACGTTCAGTGCCTGTGCTAAGGCTATGATATGGATGTGGTCGCTTTCTTTCGACATGGGTTCCACCTCCTAAAAAAATAAAACATTGACTATTAGGCCAAGTATAATCAGTAATGCTTTGACTCCTGATTAACGTAGCACAACAGGGCTGTTTTTAGGTATAGACACCTATACTCTCATGGAAACATAACCTCGTTAAATTTACCACATGCTAGTGCTACAAACCAAAATCTATCTCTTATGAAATATTTAAAATCATACCTTTCATTCAAATAATATACACTTATAAGCCAAAACACTATGACTAGTCACAGCTGAAGTGAATATTAATCATGTCAATGCCACATTTTAAGGTCTGGGTGGGTTAGATGGTAAGCAAACAATCGGTTCTCGTTATCGTGTTGAAGAAATGGTCAAAAATAAAAATCTTAGCGACTTTGACACGGGCCGAATTGTTATGGCAAGGCAACTGGATCAGAATATCTCTGAAACAGCAAGGCTTGTGGTTTGTTCCCGGTCAGCAGTGGAGAGAATTTACCAACAGTGAACCGAGGAGTGACAAACCAAAAACTGGTGACATGATTAGGGCGCCATAAATCAAAGCAATAAAGTCTATCATACAAAATTTGAATGATGGTAATGGAAGGAATGTGACAACATGGTGTATCGCACTTTGCTGCATATGGGGCTGCGTAGCCACCAACCAATAAAGAGTGCCTAAGATGAGCCCTGTCTTCCATCAAAAGCACCAACAATAGGCACACGAGCATTGGACCTGGACTTTGGGGAGTTCAAGGTGTTGCCCTGGGTCTATCTTTGTACCTCGCTTACTAAATCAGAGATGATTTGACAGATGCCAGATCTTCTAATCGTGATAACCGATCTCTGGCTAATTTGGTTCTTCAAACAAATGTTTATTTGATTAAAATATCTGGATTAAGTTGTCTGAAATTACAGCGCGTTCATTGGAAAGGACAGCTATATCGATACTCAAAACCATGATCAGAAATGCAGCGATTGGCTGGCGGCAAGACAAAACGTAATGACATCATATTAAAAAAAAGAACATCACACACCTGACAGAAAAACGTCCGGACCTTCATAAGGAAATGGCCAAGCAACCAAAGCGACAAGTAAAATGTGTACTGTTTGTTTACTAAATGATTCCCAATTATTTCACGATTTCTAGTATTTGTACAGGCTTCACATTTTTATTGTAATCTTGTAATTAGCAATTCATTTAATTTTACCTGTGAATTTGTTGTGATAGCATTAATTAAAGTTTGACAGCACTTAAAAATATGCAATCTAATCCTGTTTACATGACATAAGCCAGCTTCACAAACAGGTTTGAGTTTACAGACTTGTTGCTATGACAGAAACTCCGGGATGAGCTCGAAGAACCTATCAATGATGGATCACGTCTACAGTAAAATCAAGATAACTGCATAATCCACGTACGAGAGCAGATTCCCCAGATCTGTGTGGGATGTGCTGGATCAACAAGTTCGATCCACACCTCACAACCTACAGGACTTGAAGTATCTGCTGAAAATGTCTTGGTGCCAGACATCACAGGACAATCTCATGCGTCTCACGAGTCTATGCCTCAGCTAGTCGGTGCTGTTTTGGAAGTACTTAGAGGACCAACAGCATATTATGCACAGGCCATGATGTTTTGGCTCATCGGTATAGAAGTTCCATCGAAAAGCACATTATAGTTAAGATGTCAAAACCAAACTAGCTCACAAGTAATAATCTTTTCACCTGCTGGCAAAACTCTTTGACAGAGCGACCGCCCTCTATGAAGTGCTGAAAGAACACGTGCTCCCGCTGCAGGTACCCAGAGGTGAGAAGCCTCAGGTAAACCACTATGTAGTCAGACACGCTCTGGTCATTGAAGGAGTTAAGCAGCTCTCCAAGTGATTGCTGCTTTTCACACAGCTCAATCAAGTCCATGAACTGACAAAGGAGAGAAACCACACACAGTGAGCATCCACTTCCTACAGTAAGCTTGATTCAAGTAAAATTGCAGGATTTAAGCCTTGAGTTTTGAATGTAAGGTGGCAGCATAGTTTTTAAATGATTCATTTTCCAACTCACAGTGTTGTGAAAGTCCTCAATAGTGAACTC